GCGAGAGCAGCGCCCGCGCCCTGGACGAAGCGCCGCATGTCCAGGGCCGTCTCGGACCGGAACCCAGCTGCCTCCCGCGGCGGGATAGACGTCGCCAAGGACACGAGCGCAAGGGCGTGCAATAGCCCCGTCAGCGTGGTCCCGTGGTTCCTGCACGCTGACAAGACGCCTTGGAGGAGGCCGGCGGCGAGCTTGAGACTTCGGAGGCCCGTCTTGTAAGGGGAGGGGCGGACCGGCGCCCAGCGAGCAGGATGCGCAAACGCCGGGGGTTTGTACTCGTCCCAGAGGGCGGTGATAAGGAAGCGCGGGCCGAGGGGGAATTTGGCGCTCGTGGCGGGTGGTGGAAAAGCGCGGATGGCTGGGAGATTCAGCGTGCCGTCGTGGATGTCTGCGGAGCTGGGCGTCCCGGAGTTGAGGTGAGCCAGCAGCGATTCGTGGAAGGCTTTGCCGCTGATTCCGTCACATATGGCGTGGTTCCAGGCGAACAGGACGTCGAGCGTGCCTTCTTTCCGGGCTAGGATGACGATTCGCCATCCTGGGGTGGTATCTAGCCGCGTGAACTTTGTGTCTAGTTGCTCTTGCAGGACTTGTTCCTTGCTCGAGGCGAGAGGGCTCCTCCACGTAATGTGATGGCGGAGATTGACTGATGACAACTGCACGAATGAAGGGTCTGGCGAGTCTTCTCCGGTGATGGCGACTTGTAGAATGGGGTGCTGCAGGATTGTTTGTGCGATGGCTGCCTCGAATCTTGCTTGGGGCTGGGGGGAAGGGATGATGTATGTCACGCTGAGGACTGTGCCGACGTATTGGCCTAGGAGATGGGTTGCCGTGTGATATAGCTCTCTGGGAAGAGATTAGAGTCTGGTGGTTTATATACCTTGGGGAAAGGGGAAAGGATGTACATGTCTGCTAGTTTCCGGATGATCCGTTGTGAGGTTGATGGATGTTGCGTAGCTTGATGTGGCATTGAGAATTCGTCCCCTCTGTCGGTGTGCTTGGCGGCAAAGTTGGTGTACGGTAACTATGTGATTTTTCTGGTGATACATGAGCACAAGACGATGTCGAGAGGGCCATTGTGTGAAATTCTTATGGCTTGTAGTCGACCATGAAGTTGCGCATGATGACTCCGTAAGCATTGAACACGAAATACGCCACAGCGCAGTCAGGTCCCCCCCCGCGCAACGAAAGGCTGGTCATCGGCAAGATGTCTGCGTATTGCGAGTAGATGCCATCACTTGCTTCTACCTCTGGCAAGAGGCGCTTCTCTCTCTTTTCTACCTCTGTTCCCGTGCGCCTGTGCCCGTTAGTATTACTGCGAAATGCTCCGCGATCAAGCTATCCGTCTTTCCAAATTCGCCAGTTTTCAAATAATATTTGAGCAAACAATTTCAAGGAATAATTTTACTGTTTACCCATGTTGGGAACTCTCCTGATTAGTGCTACGTGCTGTAGCATTCCACGAAGCTGTTGTTCGGATATCACCATCTCCCCTGCTCATGATAAGTGAGCCACCAAGGCTTCATGAATTTCGTCAACTGCGCCGAGGGTATGCCTCATGCCATTGAGTGTGTGCAGCTTTTGTAGCGGACCGGGATGGGGGCCAATAAAAAGCTAAATACTAAAAGATACTTATCTTTCCTAATAAAAAATATAGAAATATAAGTACTAGGTATCTTTAAATATACATAAAGATATATTATTATACTACAATTAAATCTAATAATAAAAGTATCTGAATGTATGTATCACAGGAAAGTGGGCTCGCTAAAGTAACCTGCACCTTCGCACACTGATAGTACTCCCTGCAAATACACTGTGGAGCAACAAACAGAGCGGAACAAGCCATCCAATACGATGACTTGCACCGTACATATCTGGGCCTGTTTCCGAATGCTTCCGACAGTAAGCACCTACATGTAGGAGTGTTCCGACCGGGCGTGCTACCGACTTGCTTCATATACATACATACATCAAACCTCCCCCCGGCCCCAATGTCGAGTTTCACGACAAGTTGCTACACCGCCAGTCAGCTCGCGATACCAATAGCGAAATGTGTATCAAAACGACATGGGGAGCGTCAAAGAGTACATACTATGATGACCTCATGGTCGGCGCCAGCTTCCTCACAATGCCCCAATTAGGGAGCTTCTGCATGTTCCCCAAGCCCCTGTTGAAATTGCTCAGAGGTGCAACGACTTGGCACATGGATAACCTTGCTGGCACTTGAGAGTTCACATGAGCCATTTACATAGGCCCTCCCACTATTACATATCCAGATACTTGGCAGCGCTGACTTTGGGTCTCGGCATCCAGGGGTCCTTTGTGTTTCGCTGGCGGCAGTTTCACTTGACACGGAGAACCACGAGGTCAAAACGCCGCATACGGATGTTGAGTTTCCTGGATGTATGTTGGTTGGCGTGCAGGGTGCGACACAGAGGGGGCATGTCCCGTCGGGTGTATTTGGCCTTTCGGGTGGCTTCCTGGTCGTTTCTAGAAGAACCGTTGACAGAATAGAACAATTTTCCCCAAGTGACTCTTGGCTATATCAGAGGTGCGCTTGATTACGCCACTTCTCCTATGGCTGAGCTTGGCTCTGGGAAATATTGGCAGAGAGCCTCGCCAAGGCGGGTGGTTGCGCTGAAGGGCGCCTTCAAGATCTTGCCATCTTTCTCCTGAGGCTGAATCAGGAACCATTGTGCATCGTGGCTCAAAATGCATCAGCTTGATGGTTGCGACGGTGCCTTTGCAAGTACTTCGTACGGAGTAGTGCATCTCTGAGCATTTCCCACGCGCCACGCAATATCGATGTCTCACAGTCAGACCGTCTCAGAGGGTGAGAAAGCCTTTTAGGTCAATGCTGGCGACGATTATTCGCGGTGACTGCCGGAGACGCCGCGCGAGTCGCATTTATCCGCCACCAATCCACCTGGAAACAACCCAGCTGCGCCATTTGATACTAGCACACGCCGCACCAGTGCGTCTGGCTGGACAAGCTTATCCTCAACCTTGGCCAACATGGGTGTAGCGGCAGAAGTGGCTTGTGGCCGGAAATCTTCACTGTCGCGATCACAGTCAGCCTTTACCGGGTTGGCTGACATTCCTGCTGTGGTTAGCAGCCGTTTCCGTGCATGGCATACATACCTTCGCCATCCAGCTTGTCCAACGCGCATTTCCATACCAGCTTTTGCCAAGCCCCTCATTTGGGAGGTTAGCAGGAGTGTCTGGCTGTTGTGCTCTTCTCCACCGGCTCCAGATGTTGTTTTCCTGCTCTTGGCCCCCTGGCCCCCCGCGATAAGAAGTTATGGGACTGGGGAACCTGGATCCTGGGACCAAGATGGCTTCAGAGGCGCGCGGTGAGCATGGTTTTTGAGTAGTAGCATCCTCTCAACCACTGGCACTGTGGAGGACCACGATATGCATCAGCCAATGCTACTGCAACAAAACCTCTGCACTATCAACAGCACTTCGCGCTGCGGGGTCAAAGACGCTTGGTGGTAAAAACTTGAATTGCGCCTTATCTCAAGCTTTTTCTTGGCCCTCCACTTGGTCTTCTAGAACTGCTTCATCGCGTTGTGGGGTTCGGGGATCAGACTGGGGTGGCGTAGAGGAACGACTCGTGTTCAGCACAAATCATCGGACAGAATCGTAGCGTTCGCGAAAACTCGCGCAGTATGCCCAGATTAAGCAGTCCGTTTGAGAAGAGAAATAAATCGGTGGTGGTTGGCAGTGGCTGATGTGGGATCGCCGCCAACAGGGCTGTGGCCCGACACCAGAAGACCAAGGATCTCACCAACGGTATTGCATGTCGCGCAACTACTTGAAGTTAGTATCCATTCGGGTTTATTCATGCGTTGGATACATACATACATACATTGTCTTGGCGGCATGTTGTCAATGTCTCTCCCATAATAGCTGGGCTGCAACGGCAAGAATGAAGTCCAAGATTCAGCCCACCTCCGCAAGCAAAAGTGTTGCACTGACCCATATGTCTGCAATCGGCCCACGTTTTGGCCATCCATTTCGGCTCGTCAGCAAGCAGCAAGGATGATGGCCCGTTGATGACAATTGCGGAGAAGCTTGCCCCCAATCCGAGGCTGATGGATGCTTGGTTCACCTACATCTTCATGTCACTAGGCCCCCTATTACGAAAAAGAAAAGCCGACTTTGGCAACAAGGCTCGTTTGCCCAGGCCTCGTCGAAAATTCCGCCGTGGGTAAAGAACGTTCAATGTTGCGTGCGGCGTGGCCTTGGCTGTTGGGGGATCTGTGGACAAAACAAGCCTCCCCGAGATGGAGGGCCTAATGACCTCTCCACTCACACCACGACTACGCCACCCAGGGTTGCTTGGTTTCGTCCGACCCTGGTCAGCTTTCGACCGGACCTTTCCAGACCTCGTTCTGCCAACCAGCTCTGTGCTGACCTTGCAAGTGCGCTTACCTTGGGGTGAACATGTTGACAATTCAAGGACTTGTCTCCACGACTTGTGGGTTAGAGTCCGGGGTTCATCTTGGCCAACATGGCCAATTGTGTGTATCGTGACAGGAAGAGGAGGGCTCGGATGGGCGACCGAGTATACATAAATATACAAGAAGACGGATGGCCTCCCCAATCATCAAAGAGCGCCACCCCAAAGTCTTCTAGCGAGGTGCCCCATGGACTTTGTGCCTGCACAAGGACAGGATTGCATCAGTCGTTGTGAGCCTTGGTGATTAGGCCCTTCAGCCGCACTGTCTAGGTCCGTCGAGGTTATCAGCAATAAGAAACGATACCTTCCTCGTTCGTTAGCCTCGCCGAGATCCTTGCACTGCGTCTGCTGAGCACAGAACTTTCTTCGGCAGGAGCCACCAAAGACTACTCAAGTTTCCCCTCGTCACGCGACTTCTTTCTTGCTGCACCTGTTCACATATTTAATTCTCTCTTCAACATCGCAGTTGCCAGTCCTTGAAACCCTTCTCCATTCCACCGTTGGCCACGCATCGATACGCGGCCCAACCGTCGTCATGAATTCCGAGGGTATTTATGCCCGTCCGGGCAAGGGTGATAGCGATCCTGAGAAAGCAAGCATTCGGCACAACCAGTATGACAATGTCGAGATTCGTGGTTTGGAGACGTCGCCCGAGACCATGCTTCACAAAGGACTCAAGGCTCGTCACATCACCATGATTGCCATTGGTGGTGCTCTGGGAACTGGTCTCATTGTCGGAACTGGTAAAGCTCTTGCCCAGGCTGGGCCTGGGTCTCTCTTCATTTCGTACACCTTTGTCGGCTTGCTCGTCTTCATGGTTATGGCCGGTCTTGGTGAAATGGCTGCCTGGTTGCCCTTGAGTTCTGGTTTCACCGGCTATGCCACCCGGTACTGTCATCCTTCTCTTGGTTTCGCGCTTGGATGGTGGTAAGTTGGCTCTCCTTTGCTTTGGCCCGTTACTCTTCGCTCCCTTACTAGCATCTTAAAGTCGATTGGCCCACATACACTGACGCGAACCCTCAATAGCTACTGGATGAAGTACATTATTGTGACTCCGAATCAGCTTACGGCCGCTTCACTCGTCATTTCTTTCTGGGTACCTCGCGAGAGGGTTAATCCAGGTGTCTTTGTCGCCATTTTCCTCGTTGCCATTGTCTGTATCAATTACTTTGGAGGAATCAAATTCTTCGGCGAGTTTGAATTCTGGCTGTCCTCGTTCAAGGTTATCGTGGTGATTGGCATTATTCTTTTTGCCCTCATCATTGCCTGCGGCGGCGGGCCGAACCATGATGCCAGTGGCTTCAGGTATTGGAACGACCCTGGCGCTTTTGCGCAGCTATACAAATCTGGTCCTCATGGTGCCCTCGGCAAATTTTTGGGATTTTGGTCCGTCATGGTCAACGCTACCTTTGCCTATCTTGGAACTGAGCTCGTCGGTGTAACTGCCGCCGAAGCCCAGAACCCGCGTCGATCCATTCCCAAGGCTATTAAGCTTACCTTCTACCGTATCTTGTTCTTTTACTGCCTCAGCGTTCTACTCGTGGGCATGATTGTTCCTTACAATCACGAGAAGCTCGCATTTGCCAACAAGCAGACGACCGGAGCCAGCGCCAGTCCTTTCGTCGTCGCCGCCACTATTGCCGGTGTCTCTGGCTTGCCTCATATTATCAATGCTTGCATTTGCGTCTTCGTCTTCTCTGCCGCCAACTCGGATCTGTACATTGCAAGCCGAACCCTGTACGGTCTTGCAAGTGATCGCTCTGCTCCCGCCATCTTCCGTCGCACTGACAGCCGGGGTGTTCCCGTGTATGCCCTCGCTGTCGGTACCGCGTTTGCTTGCTTGGCCTTCATGGTTGTTTCCGATGACTCTAAAAAAGTCTTTGGATACTTTGTGAATCTGACTACCATCTTTGGCCTCCTGTCTTGGATCTCCCTCTTGGTCACTTATATCTACTTCCTAAAGGCTCGTCGCGCACAGAACATTTCTGACAGCGTTATGCCTTATGTCGCCCCTCAGGGTCTCATTGGGACCTACATTGCTCTTTTCTTCTGCATCCTTATCCTCCTCACCAAGAATTTCGATGTCTTTATTCACCATGACGGCATAACCTTCGATTATCAAAACTTTATCACGGGTTATCTGGGTGTCCCTCTTTACCTAATTCTTCTATTTGGACACATGATGGTCACTAAGAGCCGGGGAGTAGGGGCACACGAGGCCGACTTTTACGCTGGAAAGGACATTGTTGACCAGGAGGAGAGCGACTTCTTGGATCTTCAAAAGGAAAAGATCGCCGCCAGCACCGGATGGTCCAAATTTTATAACCGCTATGTATCATGGCTGTTTTAGATGGAAATTGCGAGGGTCTATGTATTGGATGCACGCACATGGGTTAGTTATGACTTGGCATGATCACACAGAGGTAGATACCAGAAGTTTTTCGTTTTAACGACTCTTACATCGTTGCCATTTTTCCAGTGAAGTCTACCATGCCGTGTCCAAAAGAGGATGCATCGACGGGTCCCGCTGACATGTCTCAAGTCACATCCATCATTTCGATATACACAAGATTCCACCCTCAGACCCTTAGCTACAAAAACAATACAGCGAATGATGTCCCTTCCGCCAAGTCCAATCCAGACCACAGTCAGAGATTTTACAACGGTCGTCATGACCCATCCCGGAGCGTTGTCTAATGTATTGTATGCCCTGCAATCCGGCCCACTGCTTATCTACGCACGCTTTCCCACGGTCCCTTGGGCCTTGGCAGACCGAAACCTCCGCTCATAGTGGGGGTGATACGGGTTGTTGCATGAAGGGGCTATCGAGAAAATTCGGTCCCCAGTTGCAAATTAATGATAACGGACAGTCATGCGAATCGCAATGTTTGTAATTGGGATTAGCAGATATATTTGCATAAGGCGGTTGCGTATCTGCTTGGATCACGCATGAAGTCGGTGGGTTTCGTTTTCAAAAGATGATTGGTTCACAAGGCGGTTTCAGAGTGCAAAACCAGTTAGTCGTAGAAGGCTCCCGAAGGAAGGGAATCTATTCTTCTATCATTACCCGCGCTTCTCGCGAACCTCTATGCTCGGGTATTATAAACCACATCAAGACGTCAAAGTGAAACAAAACCATAAAACCCATTGTATAAGCCTCCCTAACGCCGGTGCTGAAAAATGCTGCAAAAAGTAAAGCTCTCTCCTGTTTTGGTCGTGTTCGCGGCAGAGCTATTATAAAACGCCATTTCCAAAGATTTTTTTTTCGTCCGTCGACAAATGAAAAGGGCCCCCGATTCTAAAAAGATTTTCGTACACTAGTGCGGAGAGATCATTGTACACGGAAGATGAGCGGGTCGTGAAGCGGTCGAGGGGGAATTTGATTGCGAGTTACAGGAGGGCTCGCTGGCGGGCCTTCTCCTCGGCGAAGACGATGCGGCTCATTTCCAGGACGCGCTCGAAGCCCTCGCGGCCCTTGACGGCGTTTTCCTTGAAGCGCGTCACGAGGGTGTCTTCGATGCTGTTCTTGATTCGCTGCCAGCCGCCGCAGAGGGCGGTGACGCGCGCCGACTGCTGGAACTGCGTCTGGTGGTTGCCGAGGGGGGTGTAGGTGACTTCCTCCTGGACGTTGACGAGGTTGCTCCACGTCAGGTTCTGGCTGACCATGGTGAGGGTCTTGCGGGCCGGGTCGACGTAGGACGCCTCGAAGACATAGCTCACGTCCATCGAGTTGCCCATCAAGGTCTTGAGCCAGTCGGGCGCCGACTGCTTACAGGTGATGAGGCGTTCGGTGCGGAGGATGCCCGTCTCGGGGTCGACGGTGCGGGAGAGCGTGTCCACGGCGATGACGTGCTCTGACTTGTTGTTCCATGGGCCGTACTTCCGCCAGTTGGCGGTTGATACTTCGTCCCAGGAGTAGTTGTACGTGACGGCGTTGGAGAAGACCTTCATTGTGGAATGGTGTATGTGGTAGCGTTCGAGTGCTAGTGTCCTGTTTGGGAGATAGGAGTCTCTATCGCAAGTCTAAGAAATCTTCTGTAGACTGGTTGTGAACTAGTTGTGCGCGAGTCCGATCCGATTGTTGATGGCGCCAAGCTTGTGACTCAATCTGATACGCGTAGTCGTCTCGAGACAATGAAATCTATACCGAAAGAAAAGAAAAGACGACTCGCCGAACAAAAAGAGAAAAAGCAACGCTCACGGTCGTAGATGTGCCAAACAAAAGGGGCGAGCAAACCGTGTGATGACTGATTGCTGAACGTTGATAAAACGAGGTTTTTTCCTTCAGGAGAAGAAAAGTCCGGATTTGCAGGGGGGCGAAGAGGCCGTAGATAAATTTGCCTGAGGTGCCACACATGTGAGAGGCTTGAACCTCCGCCCGGCCTACTTCGGAGTGTGCACGCGTGCAGACAAGTTTTTTTACAGTGCCACAGTCGCTTACTATTCCTGTTTGGGGTGACACTAAACCCGATATAGGTGATTTCGTCTTTGCAACGCGATAAAGCACCGGGAGCAGAAATTTTACTCCGCGGTCCTGATTGGCTCGGGCGTCTGGAGGCTCAGTGGCCGACACGGTCTGCCCGTGAACGGCAGCAGAAGATAAGCACCCCGGCACTCGGGAACAAGTTTGCGTGCGGAGATGATTGGTTTCTGGAGAAGCTCGGGGTGGCAAGGGCGGAGGAAGGTGCGAGATCTGAAATGCGAGCTCGATGGCTTGGGTCACGGCATCCCGGTAACTGCCATTCTGTCAATTGTGCTATATCGGGAGTATCAGAGAGCTTATTTCTCGGAAGGAGGTTGGCAAGTGCACATAGGTTCTTGGAGTGCTCCCGCTGTGATGTGTGGTCACTGGATGACCTCGGCGTTGCGGTTATCGCCAAGGGAGGTTGCAGCCTATGAACTTCCTCCACCTTCGGTTTCAACGCAAACACCGACTGTAGCCGCGGCTACAACCAACATCATCCGTAATGCTCTCACTTGGCATCAATCCGGGTTTGCGTGCGCACGATCAACTCCATCATGGTTTAACAAACAGGACAGTCTTATTTCAGATGCTATCTTATGTCTGAAGATTACACAGCTTAGTAGTCGTCTCCCCGGCTGATGACCTCTTTCACGGTTGGCCGAATCAAGATAGTCTTTGACCATTGTTAGCATACACGATGCAAGAATTGTCTTGTAGAGAGTTGCAACTTACGTGCTCGAATTGAGCAGTATATGAGCCCTTCTTGTCACACAACGGCGGGTAAGCCTCGACAATGCCGCTGTTAACCAAGCTGTTCAGCTGCACCACAGTTAGCGGCTGCATAAGTCCCGTTACGTCAAAAAGAAATAGGTTGCACTCACCCCGAGCAAGTACTTGTCCTGGCCCAAGCGGTCCAGGTAACGACGGCAGAAAGGCAGGGTGCCAAAGTTCTTGTTAATCACGTTGAGCAGCGTTTTGGCTGAGCTCAGACGAAGGTCAACGTGCTGGACGTCTGCGTTCTTGGCGTAGTGGGAAACCTCCATGTCGTCTCTGACGTAGCCGTTACCGGTGCTCCCAAAAGTCTCGATAGCAAAAACATCACCTTCTTCCATCTTAGTCTGGTCGTTGCTCTTGACTATAGGCACGGCCTTGGTACCATGAATGCTGTAAGGCAAAATGTTATGGCCCGTCAGGTTGCGGATACTCTTTACGGGGTATGTAGTGCCATCAATCTCCACCTCGAAGCTCTCCATGGTCTCCTGAATGACGCTTCCGATTTCACCGACACGGGCATCAATACCCGCCTCGCGGATACCAGCGTTTGTGGCTTCCTTGACAGCCTTGAGCAGGTTGTCGTATTTGGATTCAAAGGCCACAGTAAAAGCAGAGTCGACAATTCGGCCATTGACGTGGACACCAAAGTCGACCTTCATAACATCATCCTGCTGTAGAACCATCTTGTTGCCAGCATTGGGCGTGTAGTGTGCAGCGCAGTGGTTCAAGCTGAGGCCGCACGGGAAACCCATACCAGCAACCATAGCATCGCCCTCAGTTAATCCAGAGTGACCAGTAAGAGATCTGACACTATTCTCGATGGTTTCGGCAATTTCGGTCAAGGTCTGGCCGGGCTTGATGGACTTTTGAGCATATTGGCGAACCTGTCTGTGGATCTCGGCAGCCTCGCGGTAATCGTTCAGAAACTCCGTGTTCAAGTTGTCCAGGTGGCGTTTTTCCTCATTGGTAGTTCGGTAACGGTTCTCGTCTTTATACTCGACTTCCTCGCCCTTGGGATAGCTCTTGTTGGGGAATAGCTGGCTCACCATGACGCTAGGTGGCTCCGTCTGGGCTGTAGGGTTCTTCTTCTTCTTCTTGGGCTTTCTCTTCTTCTTCTTTTTAGCAGCCCCAGTGGCTCCATCGGCCCCGTTGCCGGCAGCATTCTCCTCGGCGTCGTCGTCAGAATCCTCTGCGTGGTCGTCGTCGTCGCCAGCAGGCGCAGGCTTTCCGCCCTTGCCGTTTGCCTTTGCGGCTTCGTTCACTACAGATGGAGCTCAAGGTTAATCATGAAGTATGCAGTGCAAATGCTCAAACAATCTGAAATGTACCTTTCAGCTCTTTGAGAGCGTCGGTGGGAACTTGGGCTGCCATATTGACGACGTTTTTTGATCGGTGAAGTGGGGAGAATCGATCATCATTGCACTCCAAAAAAAGTTGATGAATGACCCTATGCCCAAAGTACCCCGCCACTTTAAACTGGCAGCAAGCGACAAAAATAGTCGAACAAGATTCTGGCCAGATTTGCCCCACCTCAGGACGGGCCTGTACAATTTATTTTTGTCAGCAAACGCTCCGCGTTCACATTGCGTAACAGATAGTATCAGCGACCGCTTCTTCATTCCTTGTTGAAATTTCTAGGTCCTTGAATTGACTATGAGAAGATGTATACCAGTGAGGGCAGATGCCAACTCGCCAGGTACCTAGGTACCTAGGAATGTAGGTATGAGCACGTGCCTAGCAAACGCCCGAACGTTTAGGCGCAATTCGAAGAATGACATTCATGTAGTTGGCATCGCGGCAGTATGGAATTCTCTGAATTAACAAACGCGAGTACACCAGCTAGGTAGCTTACTTAGGGGTTCATAGCTATATATTGAACAGCGAGCGACTTTTTGTACATGGCCTTCGTCCCTAAAACTGACATCACAGCTCCATATGTGGGGCCAGGGACGTGGGGTTAATGGGTGTCGGGAGGTTGAGCGCCAGCTCCAACAACCTCGGATTACTTCCTCTTCCTCAAAATCCCGGTATTTATTTCAGTCATACCGTCTCAAAATGGACACTCAGGTCCAAAAATTAGTCGACAAAGCATGGGACAGGTATCAACAACTGGCTCCTGGACAGAGGCTTTGTAAGTTCACTCCCAAGCTTAAGACTCACTCCCTCACCCTACACGAAGCCCATCACCAATGACTGACACGATACGCTGCGTTCAACAGTAATTGGCATCGGAGGTATCCCCGGATCAGGCAAGACATCAAAAAAAATCTATCTGCATGTTTACAAACGTTAACCATCTCAGGTAAAACAACACTCTCACAAGTCGTCTCTAAAAGACTCAACGAATATGCCGCCAAGACCTCGCCCAGCACTCCTCCGCCAGCAACATACGTTCCCATGGACGGCTTCCATTTCACCCGGGACGCGCTTTCCGCCATGCCGGATCCCGCCAATGCTCACGCCCGCCGCGGCGCAGCATTCACCTTTGACGCAGCCAAATTCCTCACCTTGATCCAAAAACTTCGGGAACCGATATCGGAGCAACCCATTCTTGCACCATCGTTTGATCATGCTATCAAAGACCCCAAGGAGGACGATATAACCGTATTGCCGACGCATAAGATGGTCATCTTGGAAGGCAACTATCTCGCGTTGGACAAGGACGTCTGGCGGGACGCCGCTGCCTTATTTGATGAGCTGTGGTTTGTAGAAGTAGAATTCGAAGTGGCGAGGAAGAGATTAAGGGAGCGACATGTCCGAGCGGGGATAGTCAAAACGATAGAAGAGGGGGACAAGAGAGCCGTCGAGAATGATCTCGTGAACGGAGCAGAAATTATGGCACAGCGGCTGGGGGTAGACGAGGTTGTGCGGAGCGAGGAGGACGGATCATGGGTTCATGACTGACGACGTTGAAGAAGAAAGACATCTTGTGTATTACCTAGACATTTTTGCTCATCATGATGGCTAATCTGAGAATAAGACACGGCACAAAAGAGACCCAAAGATTTGCTGCAAAATCACAATACGCTGGCTGTCGATGCTCAAACACATTTGCTCGTTATACTCGTCACACCTCGTCAGCCTCCTTCGACTCGCTCAGCTTCCTCATCTGGCTGGCCATGGTCAACCCCATCCCCTTCCTCGACTGCAACGCCTTCACCCACGCGTCCTGGTCCTTGATCGGGAGCTCCTGCGCATCCAGGCCCAGCACCTCCATGAGCTCTGGAATCTCGGCGTGGTCGCGCGTCGTCCTCATCCGATGACACCAGGTGACCCTCTTCTCCTCCACGGGTCCGTCATCTCCGAGATCTCTGCTGCCGCTGCTCGCGCCCTCGATCGACCCCATGGCCGTGGGCCGCTCGTCTTTGGGCGTCGTGATCGGCGTGACAATATCAAGTGGCTCAAAGAGGAACTCGCCACCTACCTGGCGCTGGTCCCCGGACTTGAGAGACAGCCCCTTGGGGAGGACCCTGAGTCCCTGGCCGATGCTGTCCAGAGCGCTCTTCCACATGCTCTTCCTCATGTACGCGGGCTTGGAGCCCAGCGCAAGCGTCTTGGTCATGCCGAGCGCGTCGAAGAGTGCCCGTGTGGGGTCGGTGTACAGCGGGAATGGGCAGTTGGTCGCCTCGATGTACATGTTGATGAGGGCCGGGTCGCCGCATCCCACGACGACGATGAAGGTGCTGACGGGGAGTTGGAGGAGGGCCTCGGGGGTAATTGATTCCGATAGTGTGCGGAGGTATTCCTGGCAGTTCTATGCCTTGGAGTCAGTAGCTATTGGTGTTATAGAGACAAACGGACATTCGAAAAGGCTACCTACGCCACAGAAGAAGTGTCGGATGAACACAACTAGCACCCGTCTCGCTACATTGTTCCCACTATACAAGCTCTTGAATGTCTTGGACTTGCCGTCTCGGTCAAGGACAATGTAGTCCTCTATGCTCTTGATCGTTTCGGCTGAGGGCAGCACGTTGTTGGTGGTAACCTCGCCGTTAAAGTCCTCTGGTTTGGTCTTGTCGATGTCAACCGCCGGCTGGGGCTTAGAGGCAGGAGCGGCAACTTGATCGGTTGGAATTGCAGCCCCTACAGCAGCGGTTGCAGCCCCGTCATCGGCCATCTTCGATTCTTTCTCCTCGGTCGCAATGTCGCCCTTTGGAGTCGGAGGTGATGGGGCGGCAGTCGGTGTCACTGGTGCATCTGGAGCTGTATCGTGCTGTTCCTTGGGCGGGGCATCGGTTGGCATACCGGAACCTGCTGTGCAGGAGGCCTCCATTCTGTACTGCTCGCTTGTGCGACACTTTTGGCGCGCAAGGTGACGAGGTGACGGATGGGTTGAAGGGAGCAGAAGCAGAGGCGAAAGCAGTTCCAATAATCAGGGGCTCTGAAGCTGTTGTCGGTTTCTCATTTGTGTGGTCTGACTGTCAGAGCTTGAGATGTGCGGCTAGTTCGTTCCAAGCCAGCATAGCGCACGCCGACCAACGGCAGTGCGGCCCAAGGCCCGACGGTGGCCCAAGTTTGAACCAGACCAGACATGAATCAATGTCAACCGCACGAGTAGTTAGTAGGTGATGTCTCGACTCTGGTGCCCCTGACCAAACAAACAGTGCTGTCGGGCCGCGCCGGCGGGCTCAGCTGGGGCAGGTCGAGATACAGTAATGTTCTTGTCCAAGCAAATGCCAATGTACAATGGAATTCTCCAAATTTTGTTTCAGCCCCAAGCCCTCTGCTGTGTACAGGGATGGACGCTCGCCGTGGCCGTCGCTGTCACCATCTCGGCCTCAGCCGCACTAACCTGTGACGCCCCAACGTCTGCATTTCTATTTCTATTTTGCTCTCTTCTTCCAACATATCCACCATGGCAGACATTTCCGAATCTCTGGTGGCATCGCTGGCCGAGACTCTCGACGCAGCTGGGGCTCCCTGCATCCTCTGGGGTCAATTCCTACTCAATGTGCATGGCATTCCATCGACCATTGGCGTATGTATTCCTCTCCATGGGACCACGTTAGACATTGGCTAAATTTGAGCCAAGTCAATAGACTTTATTGTTCCCGAGTCCCGCTTAGCTGAAGCAATACCAGCACTTGAAAACGCTAGAAACCTTGCGCATTGCCCAGACAAAAATGCATGTCCTTGGAGCCCCCAGCGCCGAAAGGCAATAGAGCCAGTTTTTCACATGCATCTCGGGGACTCTGCCCGGACAGTTACTTTGTATCCCCATTGCCAGATTCTCTGGTTTCTGCCACAAATGAATAGTTCCTTACCGTCCTCAGGGCAGCCGCAGCTGGAACTGCCCCAGCATCTGACGCTCGCATCCAGCTCGGCAGACCTCCCGCCACAGCGGCCAGGTCATGGGTCTGGTTTCTTCACGACAGTCGAGTATCCCGTCGTCGTCTTGAGACTGCATGCTTTGCTGGAGGTGTACATTCGACTATATTTACGCGACAGAAAGAGGCGAGATGGTGCCTACGCAAGGCATTCCGTCAAACTCTTGACGCCGTGTATCGATGACGAGGAACTTCCTGGCTCACGGGAGATTTCGGATCGCATCAAAAGATATTACAAAACCCTGGCAAACGGAGACGAAATTATTCTCGGACGTAGTGGCATGTAGCTCTGGTTTCACCCAAAATGCTTGCCCGCGAATATGTACTAGCATTGAAGATTGTCTTCAGCTACATTATATATAAGAGGCATACTTTACTCCCCAGGCCCGGGTTCCTCTCTCTGACTTCCCATCATCTTTGGACTTTTCTGTGAAGGGTGTCCGTCTCACCACACATTACGGAAGAAGCAATACTGTTACAACTCGCCACTGCGAAAGCCTCGCAAGAGATTGGAAAGCGACACAATGAAAGCTGGGGCATGTCATGCACAATCTTCACGGTCACACTTGAATAGAGACGGAATTGCTATGCCCGCTACTGCGTACTCCGGGCTAGCATCACGACGGGCATCGCAAACGAATGTGGGGGTTTCCTCCGTGTTTTATTCACCTCGATACGCAACTGTCAAAACAAAAACACAACAAAAACAAAACGAAACGGCACAGCCGTGTCTATTTCTCAAAAATAGCAAAATCCTGATCCATAACTGCAATGAAGACTCTGGCTAGTCTCCGCCACTGGCGCGATCTTGCGAGCGGCCTAGATCTTAGGCTTATCCGTGCAGGATCCCTGATACCGTCTGGTCAGTGTTCTGACGGCCTTCTAAGAAAAGGCTGTTTCAATACTCACCTCAGTCATATTCTCCCATATGATGCAGAATTTGCTGCAGCAGGTCTAGTCGTTGGTTAGCAGCGGAGGTTTTCCCTACCAAAGGGATTTATAACGTACGTCTTCGCGACGACACTTTTCACCATTTTTCTATACAATTTCTATTAGTAAAATTTCGAATGGCAAGGCGGCAAAGGTGCAATTTTTACCAAGCACTGGCCGTCTCGGGGAGCAAGACCCTCGTCTCGGGGGGTAAGACTCTCGTAGGCCATGGCGGTGGCAGAGAGGGCGAGGATGACTACACCGAACTTCATGGTGGCGAAGGAAGAAGACTGAGTCTTTGAAATTGATGAGTGTTGTTTAGAGTGTTTGAAGTGATGGTATCGGAAATGATGCTGAATGTGCTTGCTTGCTTCTGTTCAAGAAGAGGGCAAGCGGCCTTACTTATAGCTGCCTTGCCACGCTCTCTGGCCGTGCCAGCGCTGAGCATTCCGACTCACACCGGCAGCAAAGACGCATCATGCTTGGCTCTCCTGCTTCGGAAGTTGTGGCAAAACATCGCCGTCTTTTGTGTTCTGTTTGTTGCATGACGCAAATTCGGCATTCGGACACAGTTGGTATAAGCAGCGTCACAAAACCCTCCCACGGGGTCGCAGCGAAACTACCTCGTGGCCTGCATTTTGTCCTGTGCGCCGGTCAGCTCTTGCAATTCCCAACGGTGTTGGCTTGCATTTTCATTGTAGTCGAGTGCCGCAGCTCATCCTGGCGATCGCATGGTCAGGTCGCATACATGGCCCAACAAACGACCCGAGCTCGAACCAACCCATCCCCTTGGCATTTCACTCACAGACGGCCAAGTACTTGCCTTGGTGTCAGATCTTTCTGGATGATTGCGTATCGGGCCAGCGAGCCAAGTCTTGCCTCAGGTGTATGATGTATGGTTTTCACATCGGCCATCGGAGGAAGATTGCGGAATTCTATTGTTTTTCTCTTTGGAGACCTCCTGTCTCTCCTGGATTGGGAGTTCTCTTTTGACACGTGTTTTTCTTTTTTTAGGTGCATACGTATTTCCTGACAGCATGCAAAAGTCACGATTGTAATGCTGGGCACCACAATCAGCACGACAGACCTTGGGTCTGTTCGCCGTGGTGCCGCGGGTGTAAGGAGAATTTTGGGCATCCCGAATATTTCAAATCCATTTACACTGTATAATCTGTTTGTTCATCACGGTACACTGATCCTCTGTTGAACTAGGTTGCTTTTCACTTGTTGGCCGGCAGGCATGTTCCGGAATCGATGCTTTGTGTTTGTCGCAGGCGAATCAATGACACACCACGGTGCTCCCAGTCTTCGGCCTGCATTCTTACAAGATATGCCTAATTTTAAACAAAGATGGCAGGGACACCTTTCTCTTCAAATTTGTAGAGGTTATGTGTTCCCTATTCGTCATCCTCGCAAGGTTTCTCAGCCTGTCTTAACGTTCACTCTATAGGCTCTTCTTCCCCTGCAAATTCCTCTCTCATTGTCTTTTCCCGTTCTTTACCTGCCTATATTAATTCCTCCAGTCTCTTATTTACTTACCACCTCCATTTGCGGAGATGGGCGGCGGCACGTACCTACAAATCTCTGCATATCAAGCTATATAACCGTCTCTGCTCAACAAACGCGAACCTTCAGGATGAAAAGCCGAAGGAAGGAACAGAAACGTGTAGGCAGTAGCCGTATTGAGGCTTTGACCAGTGCCTCGCCTTGAGAATAATTTAGAGGGTATTATCAAGTATATTTTCCTAGCTTCAGGAGTGAAACTGCAAGGTATTCCTTGGATATTTACTGAATTGGGCGTCCAGTATTTTGAGAGCGAGCAGCCAGATTTCATCCTCTCCGCCTCAAATTATCAAAAAAGACAAACAAATCACCGACATGAAGAACATAGCCATCTGCACCTGTAAGCTAGAGCCATAGCTTTGCTTCTTCCGTCTCGCCCCCAAACCGTCACAGACGCTCATGCCCATCGTCCAACCAAAGCCATAATACCACACCCGAGATACAGCGACACAAGCATAAGCGCCAGGCGCTTCTTGTTATTGGTACGGTGCGGATTGAAGAGAAAGTCGCGCGCGAGCATCTCCACCAGCCCCGTGTAGATGAGAATCCCAGCCGATACGGAGTCCAGCACGCCAGACACGACATTGGCAGTGTACGAGCTGCCGCTGTAGGTATTGTGCAGTCCCAAGCCGATGGCAATGGAGATGGGCGTCGTCAGCCCGTAGGCCAAGCAAAGCGCCCAGGGCAACCACCTCCACCTCGTAGGAATCGGGATGACGCTGAGACGAGCGCCGATGCCCAGGCCCTCAAACGACTGGTGGAACACGAGGACGGGGAAGAGGGTGTTGAAATCGCTGCCCCCGGCCACGCCTAGGTTGAGGCCGATGATGACGCTGTGGAAGATGACGCCAAACTCGAGCACCAGAAAGGCCGAGATTTGCGACTGGAACGCGCGGTGGATTTCCTCGGAATCGCCCGTGAGATGCGTCAGCTCCTCCAGGTCGCTGTCAAACTTTTCGCTCCTGACCGCCGCGGGCGCACGTCTCGCGTCCTTCGGCCGGTCATCTTGATCCGCCGAGTGCAGATGCAAGTGGGAGCCGTGAGCGCCTTGAGTGCCGTTGCCATTGGCCCCGGATGCGTCGGTGATGATGTTTTCAACCTCGGCGTGGACGAGCCCGTACCGCTTCTCGACGTAGTACTCTGCGAGGAAGTCCACGAGGAAGATGATCATGGCGGACGACAGGGCGATGGCCGGCGGCCAGGAGTACGTCGACCACCCCCCCGTCAGGCCGACGCAGGTGTTGGGCCCAATGGCCCCGTAGGCCGGGTCGAGGAGATGCACAAACGCGGTCGCGATGATGACACCGGCGCCGAAATACCGAGCAAAGAGGTAGGCGGACAGGGGAATTTTCAGGCGCCGGATACGGGTTGCCAGGACGGGGAAGAAGGTGACCGCCGTCGAGACGACGAGAATGACAAAAATGGAAGCAATGTGTAAGCCTAGCCTGTCGTCGTAGGCATTGCCACTGCCGTTCAGGTAGCAGATGATGTCGACTAGGGGAGTGTTGTCGAGGTCGACTGAGCTGGCGTTGAAGGAAGAGCCAGCGTCAGCCATGTTGGGCGACGATTTCTCAATCCGCGATCAAAGGAATGAGGGGAATACCTTTCTGCGATTGCTCTACGCATGGAAGAAACCGAATAGGACTTACTACATAGTTATATAGACGTAAGCTGAAAAAAAAAAAACTTTTCTTTGACTATTAGAAGCCATAAGCATCCTTTTCCAGTACAGGAAGAGGGCTGGGGGACAAACCTACACAACAGTGAGGTACCGAAGCATCTCGCATTGTGTGTGTTAGACACAGCAATATGTTAGCGTGTACTTGGAGATGACAAAGCCCGGATGTGGTATCTGTTGGACATCGCGAGTGAGAACCTCTATGGTGTAGTGGCTTGCGCGAACATACCAGGGCCTTGCCAGTTCTCCAATCAGGATAAAGCTCTAGGCTGCAGGTTCGGAAGTTCGGCACGGCCCAAATACAATAAAATGCAGGCAATTGCAACTGGCTGTAAGTGACAGGCCGAGTTGATATAGAGACGATGCAACGAAGCTGGTAATGCTGTCATGGTATTGTGCCAAGCGGACAGCACTTGACATCAGACGACCCATTTGTCGGATCGAGCGGCTTCAGCTACAGCAATATGACACATCATGTATATCGGTTCTGGCATCTTCTTGCGAGACGGTGCATTGCTGTGCAGAGAGGGTGCTGACATGTCACTGCAAACTGCGGGAGCGAACAATGCGCAACGCCCGATGCGGTACGCAGTACCGATTCGAAATGAAAAGCGCTGCTGAGAGGGTTGAGAGACCCCTAGTCTAATAAACGGGGGACTTGTGTCCTCACTACTACTCAGGATGGTGTCTTCGTTGTTGCATATACCCTCCATTTGTCGAGCGCGTACTTTTGGCAATCCCGAGCCTTCATAGAGCTGAGGCTGCAAAGAAACTTGAAACAACAAAACTGGCGACTTGTTAGAAAAAAAAAAAAAAGAACAGAACAACACGGAAACCAGCAGTGCCCTCTCGAGTCTACGGAGACAAGAAAGACGTGAACAGAAAGACAAATGGGCCACAAAATCGAGGCCCATCTCCAATGCTATGTGAAGACAGCGAGGCTTGTTTAGATCAAAGTGCCAGAATCAATATATGCCCTGTAAAATACCAACTTGCCCCTGGAGGTATTAGCCTAGCGTGTTGTACAGCAACCAGACAAGGCTCAACAGACTATATAAGGTCTTGGTGGTAAAGTTGAATCATAGTTAAAGAACGTTTCTGCAGGATGAAAGGGCCCGATGCAGATTGGCCACAGGACACGTGATGGGAGAATCGATCAAGGAGAATTGTCACAAAATTGCGCCGCTAGGCCAAAAGTGAAGCTCCACCATTCAATGTTGGGGGCGGATTATTTGGGTGGTTATTTGGTGTACATGTATTTGCGACAAGAATGCTCAATATAAAAGACGGTGGTTCTAGTGGATTTATGTGCTTAGTTTCAGCAGGCGCTACGGAGTACTTCTCGAGCAAATAACCCTAATATATTTCAGTCAAGTGTCGAAGCTTTGAAACAGGGGAATAAAAAAGTTACAAAATTATACCCCAGGCTCTGTGCTTGCAATTACTGCATTGAGCTATGTAGCATGTCGGTATTGAGCCTGGTGTGCCTGCTAGCAACCTATGGCGGTAACTGCCGCGCATTTTACTTACACTATAATTGGCTTTTAATTGACGTTGGCACTCAGAAACCAACTAGGCTGTAATTAGCGGCCTAGAAGACACTCCATTACAGTGAATTGCTCGGCGGGCTCACTCTTTTTGCTAGGTGCGCTTACCCCTCTTAGTAGGTAAGTATTTATTATATTTAAACTCTTTTTATATTTTAAAAAAAATAATTTATAATAAAATATATTTACTTATTATAAAATATATAATAATATATTATAATATATAACCTAATATTTAGGTACCTGGTAGTGTGTGAGCGCACTTAGCAAAAAGAGTGAGCCCGCCGAGCAATTCATCCATTACAATGCGCCGATTAGTTGGTGCATCACAAGTACAAGGTGGCAATTGACAACCAAGTGTCTAACCCAGTGGGGTCAAGAAACAAAAACCGCACCGCAAAAATCTTCCTCATTCACGCCCACCACCGCCATGGACGACGACGAGGACAACGGCATTCTCAACATTGAAATCTCCGATGACGAAGTCGACGTCACCAAGAAAAAGGCCGACAGGACCGGCCAGTCGGAGGCGGATTTCCAGGCTGTGAAGCGGGAGTACCGTGTTCGCGTTGAAAACGGCGAGGTAAGCCACACCACGACTCCCTCATAACTTATAAGCCCCGTGAATTAGCTTGTGGGTTCTTGGTTGAGTCCATGAATCTGACTACTATGTTCGTAGATTTATAAACATGTAACGCTGCCTCTGCAGCCTGGCACGAATAAAATGCGCACCCAGGAGCTCATTCACGCAGTCGAGGAGCTGTACTTTTTCCGTCGGTACCAAGAAGGGGCTGACTTGGTCAAGAGGGCATTGGAGAATGGAGGCGCGGAAACTCTTGACAACGACTCGCGCCACCTGTTGGAGTCTTATGAGAAGAAGTGTAGTCAAAGGATTGCCAAGTCTGGTTGATTGCGACAAAGCCTGTGTCGAGTCTCGACGCGGCGTGGCTTCTGCAGCTTGTGTTGGTTGACTCTGGCATAAACGCATCCCTCGAGCCTCTTCTCTTTCCAACATTGAAGGTTCACTAGAAGCCACAATTGGTGTGTCCTGATGGAGTTGCGCGTAGCCACAGATCTGGATATTCGCCTTGAAATCGTCCAGTTTTACAAACCGGCTCTCAATTCAACATTACTCGATAAGTTTACAGACCCGCGAATCGGGACACGCCTTCTCTGACTGCGGGGTTTGTCTGGTTGCATCGTCCTGAGAAAGTGTGCAGCAGACATGCTTCCGGCCATGCGTTAGACCGACGTTCGCCTTTATAAATTGGGACCTTTTGTATTCGGAGGCCGAAGCCTCGAACACGGTGTACTTGCCAATTTAGTCTCTTCGCCCAAGGGTAAGCGGTGCAATCGAGGTCCCGAGCCTGCCACTGAAAGTACAAGACCTCGCTGCACAAATGGTCATACCACTCCGGGTTAACGTCCATTTATGGGATGTTATGTGGCGGGACTAGCAACGGAAAGTAATGATGTCGAGTCCTCGGAACATATCAGGCTACGCTGGCAACACTCCAGCTTGGACACAACGAGCGCAGACGTCGCATTCAGAAAAGCCATTCACATCCAAGCCAAAGCAAGATCACTTGCCGTGCGGGCAAACATTGCAGATGGCTAAAAAAACCCACCTTGGTCTATCTCATCGTCACTACCGAGCAAGTCACGATATTGCCAATGAAGCCACGGTGTCCTTGGTCGGCGTGTCTAGCCCTCCACAATGTCGACATGCATGGCCGCCATTTTCAGACAGGTATCAACTGCTATGAGAAACATTTCGTACAGTTTGGGGTTACCGTAAAATGGACAGCCTACAAAGATAGAGTCATGACGCGCGAGAGAGAAACAAGGTTCGCGGCATTTTATACGTGGATATTTATCGCGGTTCAGTTGAAGAATCTTGATTCTTGCCTCATCAATCTCTTCTAGAATATAGTAAATTAAGCTTTTGGGTCTAATGTATTTCTGGTGGCGCTGCAAACTTCTCCTGTCGCCGAGAAGCTTGCTGGGCTCCTACATAGACAAATAGTACCTGTTTACTCGAGTCGCCTAGAACAAAACTAGAGCCCAAGTGTTTAATGAGAAACACTAAATCTTGTTATAAACTGGGTAGATAGCCAACTGAGGAAACAATACATTTTTCAGACCAAATATTACTACCGTCAACCCCGCCCCTGAACCAGTATAGAGACAGCTATTGACGAAAGTTGTAATTTTCTTTGCTACCGCGGAAGAGCATCACAAATAAATCGGCAATGACCTTGGTGTTATTCATATCAAAGTCTTGGAAAGATTTTTTTTTAATTCCTTAAATTAATACCCCGCCGTCGTAGAGTTACCCGCGACAGCAGCCGGTATACTCGTAGTCCTAACGGCGAGACAGAAGGCTTCAGTCTGAACCATTTTGTTTGTGACACCTTGCACATATACTTGTTCAGATTGTGTATATTTGACATTCCATCACTAAGTGAGTGTCCTTCAGCTTAAAAATTCATAACGAGAAAAATGCAACTTCAACTTCGGTCACTTCCTGGATGGGAATATCTCATGGGTCCTTTTTTGGCAGTTGCACTGTTACGCCATGGCATCCACTTTCTTGTCAAGTTTTATAAAGCAACCCTTCATAGAAGACCTGAAATTTTAGATCCAAGGACCAACAAATCGCTCATGTAGAATGGATGGAGCTGTTCCACCATTGCCAGCCGTCCGAAAGTAGTCCGGCCGTTCTTGTATCCGTGCGCGTGTCTGAGTACATCCGAACGAGTCGACGCGATAGGATCAGATCCCAGTAGAACTGTTGGTTTTCATAACCTTGATGGATTCGACCTGAATAGGCAGATCCCATACCCAATGCCACTCTCCTGGTCCCTTGCCTGGCAGGCTCCGGACTCTCATGCCAGCCCGCACCTCTATGCGACATCGGCTGTTGGTTTATTTCCCAAAGCGGCGAAAATAAGCGATTCGGTGGGCCGATGGGTAAGTTGGGGCAAGGACTATTTGCTTGAATCCTGTGCTTGAGTTGACAGACAAGATTCGGAAAAGAGTATCCCTTTGTGAGAGCCCAATAACCATAGTTATTTCTGATACTGAAGTCTAGTCCAGAGCCTACATAGATTCTAACCTAGTATCTATTTAAGCCAGGGAAATGCGATACTCAAGAAACTTCATTTGCCTAAAGAGTTGGTGCAGAAACCAGAAACCGCTCACCCCATGTAGAAGTGTTGATGCAGTGGCTCAGACAGTGGGAGCATTCGTCGTGGTACAGGAAGAGTTAGCCGCGTAGTCCAAGATAAGAGAAGTCGAGTGGATATATTCCCAAACGGTAGTTCAAATGGGCATCTATGAACCAGGGGTAGATACCAGGCAGCAAGCGGCGAGAATTCTGCGTTGCATCTCCACTAGGATCGTGGAGTTGACTTGGAGGTAACAGTCCCTCTTTATGGTCTTGTCCCACACGCTGTATTGATACCATTACAAAGCTAATGCCTGGCTTGTAAACCCCGGTGTTTCGATAGGTTTGATGCTGCGGCCGGGTTGTACAACCCGCTGGACTTGACAAGCGGCGGCAGCCTCCGTAAACACCGCAGACTATCCCTGCTACAATTTAGGATAGGGGCTTACAAAGAGTGATGATACCGTGGCATCGATTGGAGGAATCGGATAGATACCATTAGGAATATCATGGGGTATCAGTATCCACGCATCAGGGTGACAAAGCCACCTTGCTGGAGGTCTCCCATCGACAAGAAGGGCATTGACCGAGCAAACATCAGAGAATTAAGCTTGGCATGTACTTCCGGCACATGTCACACCAGCGATAGCCCCAATTATCGATGATTTGTATGCCAATGTGGACGGACTATAAGAACCATGGCCACTGCCTCATGACAGAGTAAGCATTTCTACATGACGATTTTTAAATCCATCCTTCGCATACACAAAGCACTCGGTCCTCTTAGAAGATAATCATCATCATGAAGCTTTTCTCAACCAGTCTTGTAGCTGTGTCAGCCCTCGCCGGCTTCTCCTACGCATGGGACGTAACCAGCTACCGTTACATCAGCGATTGCCGAGTCCACGATGACGGCGCATACAGGTACTACGAAGGCAGCGACTCCAAAACGTGCCACAACCTCGCTGGGGGCGACTCGGGCGCGAGCTGCACCCAGTACACCAACGGCGGCGATCACCACGCCAACTGTGACGGTAACATGGTTGTACCGGGAAGCATATACGTGGGCGGTGACACTCGCTGTGCTTTCTTCACGGATACCAACTGCAGGGGAACGCGTAGGGAGGGAAGCAACAGGGTTTGTGTCAGCGGAGCATTCAAGTCTTTTGCCTGCGTAAGTCATGGGGTGCTTTTACATCTGTAGCAACTTGGGCCGCTGACTGGCGCAGAACATTTGACGGCAGATTCGGGACACGTATACTCCGAGGCTGAAACTGGAGATCAAGCGAGTCAGCTCTGGCATTTACAAGTTATGGGAGGCTGAGGCCTAATCCTTATGCCCTCCCAGTGCTGGCAGCGCTGGTTTTGGGCAGGGGGCTTGTTCGTTTGGCAAAATCACAGGGGTATTAGAATATGTGACTGCGTTTATGTTAGGACATAGAATCAGAACAGAAAGAGTCTATGATAAATATAACATGGTGATATTATAATTTAAAATATCTTGGTCTGTTAACTTGCCTACGTTAATTCCCTACTCTCCTTGATTGGCCTCAGTGATAGTTCTGCGGGCTGCGATAATAAGAACCTAGGGTGCTTGGTGGCTTAAATAAGAAATATACTCATTGATAAGTGTTTCCAGAGAGCCAGTTAAACCACACGACTTTGTGTCATCCTATAAACTTGAATAGATCATTCCTCCATTGTAGAGTCCAGATGTCCGTCTGTCTCGTCCTCAATTCCACGGTTATAGCTTTTGAATCCCGAGGTTTCTCGTTTACCTGCCAGATATCCAAGACAACGTCCACCACCAACACAAAGGAGTATCTCCCTCGTAATCAAAGCCCCATACATGTCCCATGAGCTGCAGGGAGGGCCAAATACAGTCTCGACCGCATCTAACTGCCGATATATGGAGACTACCGGAACAAGTCCGCGACGAGGATTGTATGCTGGAAACTGTATGGAGCCAGCCCGATATCGGGTCTTTTGCCCCAGAAAGATGTAAGCGACACGGCATGATGCACAAGATGACGATGGGGAACCACGCGTTCATCAGAGTTCGTCGTACAACATCTGCCTAGTAGACGCACAACATGATGCCCAATTCGGAGCCAAGGGTAGTAGTTTATGCATCAGCACCGAAACGGCACGCAAGTCCTCAGGCTGTAACTGGTGCCTATTATATCTCTGGTGGTCCCATTTGATATAGTTCCACTTGGGTGCGTATGTATGCTGACCGTGAGCTATGTCGTCGGTCTTGATTCACCCATTAGAACATAATGGTCTGACCAACAACATAACGAAATTGCTTCACTTGTTAGCCGGCAAGGGACGGTTTTCCCCACCATGGAATAAGCATATAAGACTGCTGCCATGAGGCTCAACAACTTGGTCCCCCAAGCATAACCCATTATTACTCGTCCAAGTTTCCCAAACAGCTACAACGCTGCCAATTCAATCATGAAGGTCCAGAATCTTGTCCCCTTGGCCGCTGCCATCACCCCGTCGCTCGCCTGCCTCCATTCCGCTGGGTCAGTCCTCTTCCCCTCCGGCGGACCGGTGCTGCAGACGGCGTACATCATCGACGACGGGCGCAGCGTTTGCGACTCAGGCCGCGGGCATTGGGTCGAGGGGAGCCAGTGGCGCATCAGCTGCATCGGCGGCTACGGCATGAGGATCGCGACCGACGGCGTCGACGTCTGGTACGACACTCCGCATGGAAGCTTTCGGTGGCAGCACAC